ACTTGATAGCTGGCTTGATAACTGTTTCCATCATGACTTACTCTTCAAACAGTAAGATACAACATGCACACTCTCAGATCCCCTGATTAATTTGGTCTATATGATTTAAAAATACAAATATTTATGGTCTAGAATTTAGTAAGAAAACTACTTAATCTCAGCAATATTACTTTGCTTCTACTAAATACCCCCCAAATAAATGAAAAATAAACTGAAAATATAGACTTACAAATCATTTGGTATTTTTGTTTTGCACATAACATCATAGGAGAGAAGAGATTATTATTGACTTTAAACACCAATTATAGATTTAATATTTTCCACAATTCTTTCCTTGTTTAACTTCACATTGGACCATGAACTTTATATCCCCTTGTGCCAAATTTGATGCCAGACTACATAGTTCTGTTTTCAGCTCTCTGCATTTCTAGCAATAGCTGGGCTTTGTCAATTGGTGACACTAAAAGGAGTGAGTGTTGCTGAAGAGAGCAACTGCTCATTGCTTAAGCAGAAACTCCAGAATGACGGTGCTATGGTGGAATCAGTGGTCTAGAATCTAGTCTTCAATTTTACAGATGCAGATATGTGCAATGACACAGACAAACATGTATAAATGGCTGAAGTATAAATCTGAAAGCAAATTTGGTCATTTTCAGTAAGAAATAAAATTAATGAAACAACTATATAATCTTGTTGATTTATAGAAGCATGCCTCCCACTACACACACTTTGCATTCCCCCACTCATTTGAATCTTATGTGAGTGCCAAGTTATGAACAGTGTGGTTTACAAGTGTAGAAATGGAGCAAAGCCAGTTGAATTATCTTAGAGCATAGTGTGATTCAACTCTGATGTCTTGATATACTCATCTCCTCTGTGGGATCAGAATATTCAGAATTTTTGGCTCTCAGAATATTTGAGTGCACTTACTTCCTGGATGATGTTAGAAATATAATTTCTAATTCTTAATCATTTTTTTCATTTCTAATCCATTCTGTTTATGAATTATTTCTTTATATATTTCATGGTACAGAATATTGTGTTTTATTTACCTACATTTTTTCCTGATGTTATAAATTAGTTTCCCAATTCTCTTCACTATCCATTTTTAAAGCATTTTTTATGATGGGTATCTTCTGTAGATAGTTAATATCAGTCACTCTGGGTGTTTGTTACTTTAATTCATGAAGATTGTTATCTTTATTATAAGTAACAACAGTATGACTGATGTGTTATTAAGAGCTGTGTTCTGGGCATTGTATGTAGTACTATTGCATTTAGATACATCTGCTTCAGGGTGATAACTGAGAATTGTATGAAAGAAGAGAAGATGAAAGAAGCTAAAAAGCTGGTATCATGTTTGAAAACAGATCTAATTATTTTTTAAAAGCAGTAATGAAAGCCATGTTCTCTTCCCTCTTTTTCTTCTTCTTGACCTCACAGTAGTAAAGCAAATCCTGAACTCTATAAGGACCCAAAGTAGAGTCCAATTATTCTGTAAAGGGCACAAATTACTAGATAGGTATATCAGGGAAGCTTTAGATTCCCTAAGGCAGAGGTGCTGAGTGAATTTAGTCTGTTTTTTCCAGGCTTGAAGGACAAAGATTCTATTTTGTGACTTCATTTTTGTGATGTTAGTCAAATTGAGGTCTGGAGGCAGGAGATAACCATAAAGTCCCATTCTAGTGCTCTGATTCAGTCATCAGAAGAGAGCTGTGAGTAGCTCCTAAGTTCAAGAAAGCTGCACTAAAAATATCCCTAATAAGAGTGATCTTACAGTATTTCAAAGCCTTCCTATTAGATACATTCCACAAGCTTTTGAATCACATTGCTTTTATGGTGCTATTCTTAATATGCAAATGCTAAAACAAACATTAGTCCCTATTTGAATTGGAAACTCTAGTACATTAGAAGCAGCACTAATCCTAGCACACTTTGACAACGTCAGCACTGCCGAGGGCCCAGGTGAAGGGCCCTTGCCCTTAACACTGCCACTGTTGTCATCTTCAAAGCCTTATGAAATCATCTCTAAACACTAGCTTTTGGGGATCAGGTAATTTGGCTTTGTGGGAAAGGATTAGCCCAACAGATTTCACCTAGAAATCTGTTGCAGAGAGTTGAAGAATTCTTCTGATAATGTAAAAATTCAGACTTAAGACTTATAAATTATTTTTTTAAAAAGGAAATTTGTCTAGTGTACTATGAATTGTCTAAAGAACATGTAAAGTCAGAGGTATATATATAATAACAAGTGGTAATAATTGATTTTAAATAAGTACATTAAAACTTCTTCTCCCTTAACTGTAAATTTATGGTTTTGAAAGGAAATGTCTTAAGGGCATCATTTTTGTGATACCAGCCAGGAGTGAAAAAAAGATTGAAGGTCATCACATAAAAGCTTCTATTCTGGTGTAAGGTAGTGACAGATAAGGTTGTCAGATCTAGTAGCAGATTACCAGACAGATTGTTGGATTTTGCTTTCTACAGTGATATTTTACATTTTGACAAATTCTTCTCTGTTTTGAGATGATTTAAACATACGGTTAGGAAGCAGATCAGAGCTTTTAAATCAAAGTTGGAATTGTCTCTACTGCCAGGAGTACAAGTATGTTGCAGTGAACGTATACATAAATAAATGTAAAAATAAGGTGCACGTTTGAAAGCATTTGCTTTCTGGCAGTCTCTCTGGAGAAGTAAAACAGTAGAGAAGAGAGAAGTTTGAGAAAGCTGAATTCATGCCCAAATGTCATAAACTCTTTAATCTTCTGAGTCTGTTCATTCTGTCTCAGTTTCTCATTGCAGGAATATAAGTTCCATGAGGGCAAGGATTGCTGTCTTGTTTTTGTTGTTGTTTTTAATGATGTATCCTAACCACCTAGAAAGGTCCTGGCACATAGTATGTCCTCAATTTATATTTGTTGAATAAATAAATTTGTCATAAGATATTAATCATAGAAGCCTCTCTGTATTTGTCTTAAATACCAAAGTATTTTAGAAAAAATTAAGACATGAGTTTCAACTTCCTTGGAAAAGATACTTCTATAAACATAAAATGATATTGTAATCAATTTTCTCTTATTACATATATAGCCTTCCAAAATCAAAATCATCACTGAAGTCAGCAGCAGTTGACATCTACCAAAAGTAGTGTGATGTCAAGTCTCAGCCTTACTCAGCTCCCTATGCCTTCAGCTCTCGGCTCTGATGTGGTGGCTAAGAATCTGGGCCCTCTATCAATGAATTCCAGTTTTACCACTAGTTATGTGATCATGAAGATGCTATTTAACTTTTAGTGTCTCAGTTTTCTCAAAATAGGTAAAACCAAAAAATAAAAAAACCTAAATGTGTTGCCATTGAGTAAATTCCAACTCATGGTGTCCCTATAAAACAGATCAGAACTGCCCCACAAGGTTTCCAAGGCTGTAATCTTAGTGGAAGCAGACTGTATCTTTCTCCTGCAGAGCAGCTAGTGACTTCAAACTACTGACCTTTTGGTTAGAAGCTGAGCACCTTAACCACTGCATCACCAGGGTTCCTTTCAAAATAGGTACACAGGTAATATCAACTCAAGAACTTGTTGTGAGAATAAAATGAGATAATTCATTTAAAGTACTTCATGTGGGAAGCACACTGTACATGCAGTTTATGTTCTTTTTGCTATTCAAGGATTTCTTCTCAGTTCATTCTTTCTTTCTATCTGTCTTTCTACTTGAGCATGATTATTTATCTATCTTTTCAATTTAGTGTGCCATTCCTGCCCCAATGAGAGAAACATCATATAATATGGCATGAGATTGGGAGCTTTTAGATTTAAGTTTTAGCTCTGCCATTAAAGCTACATCCACAGAAGGCACTCAAATTCCCCAAACCTTGGGTTACTTTACATAAAATAAAAGGACTGAGCTAAATGATGTCTACCATGCTTCCAGCTCCAAAAGATCATGATTAGAATGTGTGGCTCACTTTCTCTCAACTCTAGTGTTATCTTGAACTTTTTGATGCTCTGTTTTGAGCTTAATTGCCCTTTAGCTAACAATAAAGTTTCTGATATATATCATGACGTTTTCATTTTTTTCAACATATGTTGCTGTTGTCAGTTGTTTTCAAGGCTGTAATTTTTTGGAAGGGGATCACCAGGTCTGTCTTCCAAGGCACCTCTGGGTGAGTAGAAAACGACTCAATGGCATGTAATAACAATGACAACACACTTGGAGTAAAATTACACTATTTGTAATGCTATCTGAGAAGGAGCCCTGAGGTGCAGTGCAAACACCCAAAAGGTCACCAGGTTCAAACCCACCAGCTGCTCCATAGGAAAATGATGTGACAATCTGCTTTCTTAAAGATTACAGTCTTGGAAACCCTATGGGTCAGTTCTACTCTGTCCCATAGGCTCAGAATCAACTTGACAGAAACAGGTTTGAGGGTTTTTTGTTTTTGTTTTTTTTAATGCTATTTAATGGGAATATTGTTTTTTTTTTTTTAATCAAATGAAAGCTTTGTGAGATTTGTACTGTTAAAAAAAATCTAAATAGCAGTGAGCCTTTTTAGTCTATTTTTATTGCTTTTTGGAATTTTCTAAAAACATACTGAATGTCATGTCAAATATTCTCCATATCAGAATAAGATTCAAAGGATGAGGATTTGTATTATGTATCTCTTTTGATTAGGGACGGTATCACTCATGTTACAATCATAAACCAAAACTCAAAGGATTAGGAAAAATGAGAAATTAAATTCAGCCACTGACTTACAGACTATTGACAAGTTTGCTTACACTACCATTATAAAAGTACTTTCTACACTATCACAACTACAAGAAATTTTAAGAAAGCAAATATAAAGATTTCTTTGTCAGTCATGGGATGACATTTCAACTGTCCCCTAGCTGAGAAAGGTTGACTATAGATTCCAGGTCATAAAGTTGTATTTTCTAAATCTTCGTCTCTTCTGAAAACCACTGATCTAAGTGTTCACTGAATTGTTTCTTTCTCTTTCAGCTTCCTCCATCCTCAAAAGAGAGAAGCGGCTGAGGACAAAGAATGTGCATTTTAGCTGTGTCACAGTATACTACTTCACCAGGAGACAAGGCTTCACCAGCGTGCCCAGTCAAGGGGGCAGCACCCTGGGCATGTCCAGCCGCCATAACAGTGTGCGCCAGTACACGCTTGGCGAATTTGCCAGGGAACAGGAGAGGCTCCACCGAGAGATGTTGAGAGAACACCTCAGGGAGGAAAAACTGAACTCTTTAAAACTAAAGGTAAAAGCATTAGAAACTTATTTTTGGCAAATCCTATGTCTTTTCCTTAATCTGGTTGAATTAACCACTTTCATATTTATATTCACAAACCAAACTGGACAGTTATACAAGAAACCTCCTGCTGAAGCTTCTTTTCTTTCTTTCTCAAAGCAAAATAGTATGGTCTCTTCACTGAAAACAATGCCATCCTTTATTTTATTCATCCCACAAATATTTATTGAGTATTACTAGGTAGTAGATCCTGTACTTGGGCTGGGGCAAATGGTGAGCCAAAATAGATGTGGTTCCTTTTCTCCTAGAATTTACAGACTAATAGGAATGAGTAATTCAACAATTAGCAAGAGTGGCAAGGTGTTATGATAGTGTGTAATGGGAAGTTGACGTAGTCCAGGAGCTTGAATAAAGCTCCTTGGAGGAAGAGATAATTGAAAAGAAATCTGAAGGGGTAAATAGTAAAGAGGATTGGCAAGAATGTTTCAGGCAGTGGGAACAACCTGAACAGCCTTGTAGTGAGGACACAAAGGCTAGTGTGGCTGGAGCAAGGGCAAGAAGTGTGGAGTAACTTGAGAGGCAGGGGTATATTAAAGTGTAGTTTCTTTCTCTTCATTGTAAGGCCATCAGAAGCCATCTAAGAATTTAAGCATGAATTCGTGGTGACAGGGTAATATGATCCCGTCCATGCTATGGTGTGAGATAATTTGGGAGTAAGGCCCTGTTGGGGTGGTGGGAGGCAAACGTATAATGCTGTAGAGCTAGATCAGTTAGGCGGCTACAGTTAGATGCTGGCTACAGAAGTCCAGGAGAGAGATGATGGTCGTTAGATTAGTCTGATGGTTGGTGACTGGAAGATAGATGGACAGAGGGAGAAATTTAGGAAGTAATCTCAATAGTGTTTAATGATGAGTAAAACTTGGGAGGAAAAGAGAGGAAGTCAAGAATGGCTCCTAAATTCCTGGCTTGCAAAACTGAACAGTTGTGGTTGAGAGTACCATTTCCTTTGATAAGAGACACAGGAGGTGGAGCAGGTTGTGCATGTGGAGGGGGATGGTAATGAGATCAGTTTTGAATGTACTGAATTTGAGGGGCTTGAGTTATGTAAGAGCTATCAGGAAGATGTCCAGGGGGAGATACTTACCATTTTGGTGCATTAGAGATTAAGTTGAAAGAATCACAATATAGACAACTTTTATCAACAAGACACTCTATGCTTCTATTGGTCTATCATTTTACTAATACACAGGAAATATTCTCTCATCATTATTCAATGACAAAGGAAATCTTTCTTAAGTAATCTATGGTACTCAGCATAAGGGTCGCTCATTAGATAGTCGAAGTACCAGAAACACATCTGTGTTATCTTTATCTTTAGTTTCCAGGAAAAGCCAATCATCAGAGGTATTGTGTATTTCAAAACATCTTGTTTTTATGTATTTTCCAATATATGTATGTGTCCTGTTCCCAACTGCATCACAAGGCAGTCACTGGAATGAAGCTAGAAACAGTCTAACTCTTTAGTATGTCTATTTCCCTTGACAATATTTTTAACAGGTGCATTTAAAGTTCCTTGAGATTTTTAGGTATCAATCCACTGTTGTTGTTTTTCATAATTGCTTTGTATATAGTTTAATTCAGTAATAATTTTTAGATTGGCTTCTGAAATCCATCTTCTCTACTTTTATAACTGACTGGAAACAAATTCTACCCCCTATCCAGAAAGGGAAGTCTTTCTTCAACTTCAAATATTAGTGGAACAAAAATAATGGTTCCATTTATTAGTGATTGCTATTTGCCAGGCATTTTACTTGTATTTTTTTTCAAGTAATATTTTATTGTGCTTTTTGTGAAAGTTTACACAACAAATTAGGCTTACCTTTCACAATTTCTACTCAGATTGCTCAATGATGTTAGTTACATTTTTCATGTGTCAACATTCTCTTTTTTTTTTTTTTCCTCATGATCTAAGGTAAATGTTTCTTTCCTTTTTAAAAAAAAAACAAAAAACTTTTTTGTGATATGAGTGAAAGTATACAGACAAATTGGTTTTCTATTCAACGGTTAATACACATTTTGTTTCATTCACAGTTAATACACATTTTGTTTCATAACATAGATTGCAATCACCACAATGGAATAGCACTCTTCTCACTTCCTTCCTGTGTTTCCCATTTCCATCCATCCTTCTTTCCCATCTCTTCCTGACTTCTGAGCTTCATGCCTGGGCAAGCGCTGCCCTTTTGATCTCTTACGGTTGATTGTTCTAAGGAGTCTGTACCTCTCTGGTATTATTGTTCACCTTATAGACCTGTCTATTTTGCCTGAAATTTGAACCATAAGAGTAAATTTAGTTCCAGGCTTAAAGGGTGAATAGCATAGTGCCTAAGGCACTTGACTGCTCACCAGAAGGCTGGCGGTTCAATCCCACCAGCCACTCCTCGGAAGGAAGGTTGGGCAATCCTATTTCCGTAGTGATACTGCCTCTGAAACCCAAGGAGGGGTCGGGGCAGACTCAACGGCAAACAACAACAACAACAACAAGGTCCCTAGTCTAGGGGGCTCCACAAGTTGCTATCAGAGCAGTAAGCCTGGTCTTTTTTAAGATTTTGAATTCTTTTCCACATTTTTATCTTGCTCTATCCAGTACCTTCTATTGTGATCCCTTTCTGAGTAGTTGGCAGTGGTAGCTGGGCACCATCTAGTTCTTCTAATCTCAGGGTTGTAGAGTCTGAGGTTCACATGGTCCATTAGACCTTTGGATTAATTGTTTCCATGTGTCTTTGATTTTCTTCACTCTTCTTTGCTTTGGATGGGGAGACAGCAATAGTTGCACATTAGAGGGCCTTTGGCAAGCTTTTAAGACCCTAGTCACTACTCACCAAAGTAGGATGTAAAACATTGTCTTTGTGGACTCTGTTATGCCAATTGACCTTGATGTCCCCTGAGCCTATGGTCCTGAGCCCCCAGGCAAATGAATCATCCCTTCAAGATGTTTGGTTACAGCTAAGAAGTTTTCATAACTTTGCCTACTATTTACAATATACCTAAATTTATTTATAGCACGTACAAATACGTAAGTCAAAATATTGTCTGCCAAACCTATATGTGGTTGTGAATGTAGTCCCATTCACCTGCCTGTATCTGTTCATCTTGCCTATCTGCCTGTGTATCCTTTCATACATTATTGTTTGCTGTTATTGATATCAAAGGATTGTATATGTAATAGTATTTACTTTTGTTGTCTGTAACTCTTGTGCACTTCTCCATGTCTTCTTTTCCTTAGGGTGATGATATTTGTGCTGATCACCCTCTTATTGTATATCACCTCACCCAAATTAGTATGTGTCTATTATCTAGGTAATAATTTTCCCTCCCTTCCATGCTCATCCCTGATAATCATCAAAGAATATCTCTTTGTGTGTGTAAACCTTTCCTTGGCTTTTTATACTAATGAACTCTTACAATATTGCTCCTTTTGTGATGAGCTACTTCACTCAGCATAATGTCCTCCAGGTTCATCCATGTTATGAGATGTTTTGTGGATACTTTGTTATTCTTTAATGTTGTGTAGTATTCCAACGTGTGTATGTACCATTATTTGTTTACCCATTCACCCACTGATAGGCAAACAGGCACTTTATAAACATTATTTAATTTAATCCTAACAAGACCCAGTGGGATAGGTAATTATTAGACTATGTTTACAAATAAGGAAGAAGTACAAAGATGTTAAATAGCTGGCTCACTCAATAGAAAATTGACTGTATTATCTTTATTCTTAAGTTAATTTATTATCCCCTATAGGCACTGGGAAAGACAATCTGAGTATCTATTGGGAGTCATCCCTTCCTGGAGTTTGTTATGATGTGCACTGGTTTTGAACAGCTGGGAGACTGTAATTCTACCTTAGGCCCAAAAGATTGATTGTGGTGAACTTTGAGGAATATAATGCATGTGATTAATGTTAGGGGGAGCAGCATACCTACAGCAATCTTCCTCCATAAAAGATAGTTTTATATTCTGATACTATCATCCGTACTCAGCTGCTTCTATGCTTTCAAAAAAAAAAAAAAAAAAAAAGCAGACAAAAGCAAAAAAGAAGGACAAAAAATTGCACCCAATTACTGACTCATTTTTTAGTTGTGCTTAGTGCTGGAAGTTGGAGAGTGGCAGTCATCTGAGTGGGTGTCACCTCTTTTTTTTCTATTTATTGATGTATGAAAACATACAACTTTCCCTTTTGGTAAAAATGTCAGAAAAAGGCATTAGGTTATCATTGTTATTTTCCAAATTAATACAAAACTAAAAGATAATGGAATTCTGAGGTGATCTTAGCCTAACTATATTTGAAATATTCAGAAGTCTCAGAAGCACATGTCATATGAGGCTAATAAAAGATCACAGCAATGTATGATAGTTTGTTTAAAAAAATCTTCAGGGAATTAATGGAGGAAATTTTGTATAAATCTCTTTATTAAAGCATATTTTTATAATGTTTTAACTATAATTGACTACACTTGTCTAAGGAGTACCAAAAACATTGTTGTTGTTATGTGCCATTGAGTCAGCCCTGACTCATAGGGACCCCTTCTTGGGTTGCTGAGGCAGTATCACTATGGAAGTAGATTGCCCAACCTTCCTTCTGAGGAGTGGCTAGTGGGTTTGAACCTCCAGCCTTCTGATTAACAGTCAAATGCCTTAGGCACTACACCACCAGAGATCCTGTAGCCTCCATGTTGTTGTTGTTATGTGCCATCGAGTCGGCCCCGACTCATAGCGACCCCTCCTTGGGTTTCCGAGGCAGTATCACTACGGAAGTAGGATTGCCCAACCTTCCTTCCGAGGAGTGGCTGGTGGGTTTGAACCAACAGCCTTCTGGTTAGCAGTCAAGTGCTTTAGCCACTATGCTACCAGAGCTCCTTGTAGCCTCCACAGAGGTACGATATTTTATAATTCTACCAACAATGCATGAGAGTTTTGGTTTCTCTATATCCTTGTTATTTTCC